GACATTATACAATACTTACCCAGTTGAAGGCCGGCCCCTGCGGCAGACCAACCGACTCGAACACCATTTCTTGGCTCCTCAGTGCTGGGTAGATCATTGTCTACATTTTTCAAAACCTAAAAATGTACGACACTGTTAGGAGGCAGAACAGGCATGTAGAGCTGGGTCCCCTTTTTTCTGATATGCAAATTCTCAAAATAAAACATATTTTCAGTATATTACATTATTTAGTTGCCATCAGGTTTTCCCATTACCTAACGACAGAGTTTAATTTTAACCATAATGTTTTAAAACTATGACATCAGAACAACTAGTTCCCTTTTGTAATTTTCTTGACAAATAAAAACTTGAACATGGCTTCGCACGGTCGAACCTTTTGGGTATCCAAATAGGATATCAAGGTTTCAACATCTGGTACCGAAAAATCCCAACTAGTGTCATCAGGATGCTAGGGTATTGCAAATCTTAAACCCTTGTTAGTACTTTATGTAAATATTACCACATTTTTGCAGAACTGCTTAACAAATCAAGTATTTTTATTGCTGGCAATAATGCTTGTTTAAATTGTTTGCAAGTTCTTTAACAAAAAATCATTTCCACACAGTAATTTTCAAGCCATTACAGTTTGGTTCAGCATATAATGAGTGGCTTAATGTACATATGCATGTTTCACACACACACAGTTAAAAATTGAGGTTGCTACTGCTACTTTGCAAAAACTGGGAACAAATTGAGAAAAATTCAAATAACGTTGGCTTGCTACAGTACAGTATCCTACTCTATAACACAACATAATTTACACTTCATAATTGGAAAAATCCTTTTACAGTTAAGTTACCAGTGATTTCCTGGAAAATAAGACAAATGTTAGCATGCTTTTATAGACACTACAGATGAAAACTGCAAACTGAAACTCTCATTTTGAACAAATTAACAGGGATGGATCCAGCATGGTCCGGTAGGGGGGGTGCTCTGCCAGCTCTGGCACCGAGTTATGTCGGTCATGTGTGCCGCCCACCCATCAACTTGCTTCACTACTGCAAAGTCTTGCTTGACTATTGTATTTGAATTGTAATTGTTGGTCACAGTTTGCTTATCATCATGTTATTACTCAAATTACTGTATCTCATTTGGTTTCTAATAATTTTGGCTTATCATAAAAAATAGCTCCTCCCCCCCCCCCC